AAAGTTCCATATCGGGCACTGCTCTGAGAAGGTTTTTTGTTTTGTTTTTTTAATTGAATTCTGTGAGATACAGTAACAAAACTTTCATGTTTGAGTTTCAGTCATACAATGATCGAACACCCATCCTTCCACCAGTGCGCTTTCTCCACCACCAGTGTCCCCAGTATCCGCCCCCCCCACCCCCCCACCACCCCTCCCCATGCCTGCCTTTATGGCAGACAATTTCCCTCATACTCTCTCTCTACTTTTTTTTTGGGGGGGGGTCACACCCGGCGATGCACAGGGGTTACTCCTGGCTCTGCACTCAGGAATCACTCCTGGTGGTGCTCAGGGACCATATGGGGTGCTGGGAATAGAACCCGGGTCGGCTGCGTGTAAGGCAAACGCCCTATCCGCTGTGCTATTGCTCCAGTCCCGTCTACTTTTGGGCATTATGGTTTGCATACAGATACTGAGAGGCCATCACGTTTGGTCCTTTACCTACTTTCAGCACACATCTCCCGTCCCGAACGATTCCTCCAACCATCATTGACTTAGTGATCCCTTCTCTATTCCAGCTGCCTTCTCCCCCAGCCCATAGTGGTGGCATTCCTAACCACTGTGTAGTATTCCATGGTGTAGCTATACCAAAGTTTCTTTAACCAGTCGTCTGTTCTCAGGCACTCAGGTCGTTTCCAGATTCTTTTGCGAACAGTGCTGCAATGAACATACAGGTGCAGATGTCATCTCTACTGTGCTTTTCTGCACTCTCAGTGTATATTCCCAGAAGTCGTATTGCTGGGTGCTTTGGGCAGTTTTAAATAATGAATGAAACTCAGGAGGAGCGCCCCGAGGACGCCAGACGTGAGCCTGAATTGGTTCTTGGCATCCTCTCTGGGCTGCAGACATCTCGCTCCCATCTCCCCTGCAAGGCATCATCAGGTGCACATTGAAGACCTGGGTCTCTGGGGGACACGATTCCAACCTGTGCGACGGGGCAGACGTTTTAATCATGTCCGTGAGACGGGAGGGCTTGTCACACAGGATGCCCCTGCATCAAGGAGAGTTAGGGGCACACTGCTCTGTCCTGCCAGGAGCTTGGCCAGGGAGCTCCCCACTGAGGCCTGGACCATTGGTCCTGTGAAATCTCACACCAGCCACTTCCTCCTCAAGGGTGGTTTCTGTAGATTCCACCACCTTGGCTGGAAGACAGAAGCACCTTAGACCTCCTCACTGTGCCCCTCTTTTCCCCCGACCCCCAATGCCAGCATCTCCATCCTGGGGCACCACCCTGAGGCCTTCCTGGAGGCAGCGTGTCCCTTACCAAAGCTCCCATAACTGACAGGGTTTCAGTCTCCGCTTTTACGACATGGACCCGGCTTGACAGGTGGCCAGACTCCCATGCCTGTTGCCTTAGGAACCGGTGACAGCTTGTTGGTGGCCCTGGGAGGCCGGTTGGATGCTCCGGGTGTGTTTTGCGTGCGGCTGGACCATCTTGCCGTGTGTGACCAGGAGCCAGGCGGGTGGGTGGGGGGCGCCGCTGGCCTTCGCTTTCATGCTCGAGCAAATCCTATTTTCCCGAGCCTTTTGCACAACATGACCCTCCATCCAGACACACAGTTGCCCGAGGAAGGGAGGGGAGGCCGGGAGGACTCACCACAGCCCCTGCTTGGGCCTCAGGACCAGAGAACCAGCCTCCCTGCAGGCCCAGACCCCAGGCCTTTGTTGCCCACGTGTCTCCCTGAAAGGGCTTTTGTGGATCCTCTTTTCTGCCCTTTGTCTCCGTCTTACCCACTTTAGCTGAGACCTCTGACAACCCTTGGGAGGAAATGTGCCTCTGACAGGTGGGGTCAGGAGAAGCCACCACTGAACTTCCCGTTTCTATTCAAAAATAACAACAACAACAACAACAACAAGAGAACGCTCACACTTTCTCTTCTGTTTGCTGCTGGATTCTGGGGCACAGTGAGAGGAGGGGAAAGGGCCCCTTCCCGTAAATCTTTCACCGGGAGAGAAGCCAGCTCCAAATTGCTAGGTTGGGATATTTTTCTGGAAAGGAATACGTAGATATATATTACATTTATAGTTATATATAACATTATGTTATATATTATAATATGGCATATGATATATAAAATGTATATATTATGTTTATATATCTTATGTATGTATATATTATGTCACTGTCACTGTCCTCCCATTGTTCATTGATTTGCTCGAGCGGGCCCAGTAACGTCTCCATTGTGACAATTGTTACTGTGTTTGGCATATTGAATACATCACGGGTAGCTTGCCAGGCTTTGCCGTGTGGGCGAGATACTCTTGGTAGCTGGCCAGGCTCTCCGAGAGGGGCGGAGGAATCGAACTCGGGTTGACCATGTTGGCCGCTTGCAAGGCAAATGCCCTACCTGCTGTGCTATCGCTCCTGTTACATATATGTAGGTATCTATTGGATGATTGGTTTTCTTTGGTAGTCAGCCTTGCTTTCCATGGCTCTCAGCCTGGTCTGCTTCTGTGCGAGGAGAGGTTTGCATACTGACTTCTGCTGGTCCTGTCTTCTCAGTGAGAAAGCCCCCCCCCCCCCCCCAGATTTCCAGCTGGTACAGAGCCATTTGGAACGACAGGGTACCCTCTCCAGGCTTGCCTTGCGGCTTGGCATCAGCCTACTGCAGACTTCAGGCTAATTTCCCATACCAGGAAGTGTCATGTGCAACTTTCCAAAAGGAGGAAGCCTTCCCAGACTCCCTGAGGGGAAGGCAGATGTGATGGCCAGGTTCAGGCAGCCACATTGGACAATGAGGTCAACACCCCATATTGGGATGTCTGAGCTCTGCAATTCCTTTTGAAACTGTCTGGGCTTCCCACTTAGAGGTGAACAAGAACCTCCCATTCTGGGTCGCCCCTCCTGTTTGGGCTTGGCTGTCACATGACATGAGCTGTCCAACACCTGTAAATCTTTTGTGTGTTTGGGTAGGAAGGCAGTTCATTGATTATTATTGTTTTTTTTTTAACTGTGACTACATTTTAGAGAGAGAGGCATGCCTTATTCTTGGGACACTAAAATCATAACCTGCCCATTTAAATGTCTGAGATGTTCTGTAGTTTTTATTTAAAGTCTTCCAACCCTTGCGTCATCATTATTAGCCTTGGAAGAAATTCCCCCCACGGCTCCTTTCTTCAGCATCCGTCCTCAGCATCCATCAGAGCATCCGTCCCCAACATCCGTCCTCAGCATCTGTCCTCAGCATCCATCCCCAGCATCCGCCCCAACATCCATCAGAGCATGCATCCCCAGCATCCATCCCAGCATCTGCCCCACTTCCCCACAGCCGTTGCTGCTGTTTTAGGCCTGTGCTACCCTATAGAAGGAGAATAACACAGACCACCTACGAAAGGTTAGGTTTTTGGCTCCCTGGGTGATTCGAGTAGACACAGTCTCAGGCATTGCTGCTTATCCCACTGAGGGTCAGACTTGCCCTGTTAGACTAGGGTGAATTTGAAGTGTGGTGGCAGACAGGATCTTGTGCCCCTCTGCTCTCCGGAAGCAGAGCCTGCCTTCCGTGGAACCATTCCTAGGCCAAAACGGGCACAGTGGAGAAGCAGTTACCTGTGGGCGAAGAGTTGAGCTTTCCCTAATGCATCCCACACACGTGACCTCAAAGGATGCTCGTACTGAAAGTGGCTTGGCCAAGAGCCTTCCTGGGGGCTTCCGGGCAGGCTGGCTCGACCCTGAAGTCACCTTGCATTTCGCCTCTCCACCTTAGATGGATGTCTCTCTCTGTATCTCGGATCGCAGAAAGTCCCACGGTGCAAAAGCAACATGGCGGAGGGAGCACTTGGGAAGCAAAAGGGCCAGCTGACACCAGGGGTGGGGCTGCAGACCTCAGGGATCCAGGCCAAGTCCTGAGTGGGGGGACAGAGGGATGGGGACACGACCCATCGGTCCCCTCTGCAATCAAGTAGGAATGCGTGGAGGACGGGACACCACCCATTGGCCACTGACCACGTGCACTGGGCCTTAGCAAGACCTACAGCGTGTGGATTCAGAACAGGGTCCAACGGGCTGGGACATGGGGCAGACGCGCTGGTACTGATGGGCCCCTTCTGCCTTCCTGTGTTCTGATTTTGGAGACCGTGTGTGTGGGGAGCCTCTGGTACAGATGGGGCGCCTGGCCAGCAGTGTCCTGGCGAATGGCCCCAAGCAGGGCTAAAGTTCTCAGCAGCACATTGTACTTTTATGTGACTTGGGGGAGGGGACCCTGAAAAATGCCCCTTGAGGACTATCCCCGTAAAGTCATTCTTCTTAGCTGCTTGGGGCTCCACATCGAGACGCTCAGATTTAAGGGAAAGTCCGTTGCTGTCATATTCTTACAGAACTCGTCAGTCTTCTGGTCCTTCTGTCTATCTAGACAGGCTGGCCAAGGATGGCGGCCAAGGTCCCGGGGCATCTCTTGGGAGCCCCCGTGAGTAGATACAGCACCCACAGGGCAACACTTCAGAGCCGGCGGGGAAGACAGGCTCTTCTCTCAGCTGTGAGAGGGACGGAGGAGGGAACGAATGCGTGAATCTGTGTTCTTTGCAAGCCGATCTTGCCTTGCTCATGCCATCCTCCACGCCAATATCTGTGTTCCCATTATGAATGTCGAGCCAGTGGGTGAGGGGTTGTACCAGTGGTGTGTGTGGGGGTTGTATGAGAGTTTCTGGGGTGATCCTGGCCTTGGGTGCAGTACATGCCGCCTTGTCCTGGAAGGTGGGCTTCCGCTCCGTAGAGCCCTGCCCACCCCTGCCACTGGCCAGCGCCCCAGCTCCAGCTCACCGTGCTCTCTGGCTTCGCATCCCCAGACAGTGCTCCTCTCAGACAGTTCTCCGTGTCTTCCTGCTTCTGACCTCCCCCCACCCACCCCCCACCCCTCAATCCCTGTGACATGGGGAGTAACTGAGCATTTTCCCTGCTCGTGGGCGCATTTGGTCATCGGGCAGGGATGGTGAACTGACCTCTCTCTCCTCTCTTTCTCTTCCAGTCTCCTTGGCGCACATCACGCAGCTGGTCCTCAGCCACAACAAGCTGACAAGTGAGTTTCCGCGGTCACGGGTTCTCCCCGTTTCCGTCTTCTGAGCCAGACCGGGACACCCCCAGTGATTCTGTTTCTTCTCGAGGTGTGAATGACACACGGTGGCCTGGGGAAGCTGCCTCTGCACCTGGTGGCGTGACGAGGGAGGGACCCTCCGAGAGGCGGATTTTTATGAAGGGAGTGTCTGCAAGGAGGGAAACACTGACGGTGTGGTTTGGTTTTATTCCACAAGCCCGTCCACGCACACTCTTGTTCCGTTGGCTCTCTCAGCTCTGTGCTGTATACTCTCTTGTGGGTTCTTTTTCTTGGCGATGGGGGGGAGGTTGTTAGCGCTCAAGTGCTCAGGAGTTCCATTATCCGATCTCGGCAGGGCTTGGATGCAGGGACCTGAGATCTGATGCTCTCTGGGCACTGCCGAGCTAGGGGCCAGCGGAGATTCCCAGGGGTGCTGAGGGTGGGTGGAGGTTGGGGGGGGGTCCAGGCCCACAGCTAGAAGTGTTGTGGAGGGGCTGACGTGGTGCCTGGGTTGGAACCAGGGTCGGGATGTGCCTCTTACCCCCCAGCCATACCACAGCCCAATTTTGTGGAAGATGGGAGAACGATTCAGCCAGCCTGGAGCGCCCCATAGGCATGCCCTCCCCACCACCCCCAGCTGGCCCAGGTGCCCGCAGTCCTGGCCACAGGCAGACGGAGCATCTGTTGTCTGAACTCCTCAGGCCACCTGGATGTCATATCCCAGCCTGCAGTGTTCCAGGGCCCATGTGGGGCCCGTAGGTGGGGCTGGTCCCCAGAGACCCTTGGCCCCATCCGCTGCTCCAGGTGGGTTGAGCCCCGGAGAAGGGGCTGTTTCCCCTGCGGGGCAGGTCAGTGAGATGATGCTGCATTTCTAGACCCACCCAGCCCTGCCCTGGGCCGCGGAGAGATGCTGGGGAGCTGCTCCACACCCAGCGCATGCTTTTCCGCTTTAAGCAGAGAAACCTCAGCCTGGCCCTGAGCGAGGCCCTTGGCCTCCGTGCAAAGCTCGGTCTTCCCTAGCCTGGGAGCAACCTGGGGCATGAAGGTGACCCCGTTTCTGCAGAAACGGGCCCAAACGGGGCAGACCCTCTCCCCCTCCCCCCACACTCACACAGGGACACGCAGGACCTCACCACCGTCTGGGCTTCCCTGCCCAAGGGGTCAGCGAGGCCCTGTCCCTGTCCCCAGTGCTCTTGGCTGGGCTCTTCGGGCCAACAGGTTTTCCAGTTTTTGATGCCCCCGTTTCCAGAAGACTTCCACGGGCACCCCCAACGCTGGGCTCGGGCAGGCCTGCAGGAAGCAGCCGTTTGCAGAGGCTTTTCCAGGATTGCCTTAAATTCAGTGCCACCCCTGCTGCTATCAAGGTTGTCCGCCAGGGCCTCCCGGGGACTGGCACCTGGCCGTGTCTGCAGTTCCCCCAGTGTTTTCTCGGTGGTGCTGTGTCAGCCCTCAGCGCCCTCCAGCTCCCCAGTGTCCAGCGAATTCTCCTGTTGCTGTTTGTCCGCAGCTGGCAGTGCTCAGGGCTGACCCCCGGCTCCGGGCGCAGGAGACTTAGGGCTTCCGTGGGTAGAGATGGGGAGGGGAGGTAGGACTCACCTTTGCTGGAAACCTGTGCCCCCCCACCCCAGGCCAGGAGGACCCTGTGTTGTGTCCTCTCCCTGGCAGTGCCCCCTCTCCCGGCGGTCCAGGGGACCATATGGGGTGCCGGGGATTGAACCCAGGCCCGCTGTCCTGCGGCTCCGGCCCCTCAGCAACTGCCTCAGAGCCCCAGAGCTGCGTCCTGGAGATCTCCCCATGGCTCAGAGACGGGGGTCCGCCGGCGGGTGCACGCAGCCCTCTCTGCACCACTGACCGCCCCTGCTTTTCCCCTCTGCACCCCACATTCAGGTCCAGGGTCAGGGGCTGCTTGTACACAGGCAGGACAGGCGCTGGGAGGCCGGCGAGGTCACCCCCTCCCCGCCCTTGCGGGGCTCCTACCCCCCACCCCCACCCCCCGCATCTTCCTTTTGAGACGCCCGTGACCTAATCAGTAAACTTGCCTCACTCGTCCTGGTAAACTCCGTTTCGGGCCGCTGAGAACAGCACCCAAGTGATGCCCGATCTGCTCCCTAAGGTCAAATTAGCATCTCTTACTATTTCCCTGGCATTTAAATGCAGGGCGCCGCAATGATTCCTCCGAGTGTTGGGAGTAAATATGTCCATTTGATGGGAATATAAATATGCATTAGGCGTGAGTGGTGAGCACGCCCTTCTGTCAGCTCTCGCCATGATCAGGGCCTCTCACTCTCCGGGCGGCTAAGGGGCAGGGGCTGACAGTGCTCCATTGCAGCCTCCCGCGTGTCTAACGGGCACGGGCTGACAGTGCTCTGGGCACCTAACAGGCTCAGGCAGACAGTGCTCCATTACAGCCTCCCAAGCCCCCGTTCCCATGCTCTCTCCAACGCGTTTGTGCATGTTTGCCAGTTCGCGGAGGGTCCGGCGTGGAGCCCCGGGTGGGGGCATTTCTTAGGGCCACACCTGGCCGTGCCCAGGACTCTCACTGAGGGTGCCTTGGGCCCTGTGCTCTCCCCCCGGGTCCCTGAGATCCTGCGCCCCTGACCCCCACCTCTGGGCCCAGCTATTCTGACATGGACCGTCCATGCAGCCCAGGAAAGCGGGGCTGGGCGGACCTGAATGTGGCTCTGTAAGCTGGACCTGTCCCATCAGACTTGTAGGGCGAGGCCCTCAGTGACCGTGTGTGAGGGGCAGGGCATTGCGGGGGTGGGGAGGGGTTACTTCCTGGGTGGGGACTTGACAGAGGGTCTTCGTGGCCCCTGAGGGAACCTTTTTCCCATAAAGGTGAGTTCTGCCTCCTGCCTTCTCGACTCTACCCCCAAGGCCCCTTGGCCCTGTCTGTGATGGCCATGCAGGAGCCTGGTGGCTGGCCCCGGGGGAGCTGCTGGTCCTGGAGGTGACCGCTTCCCCCTGGCCGTCTCAGCCTCCCCCTCGGAGCAGCAGGCCCACATGTCGGGCAGTCTCCGCGCATGTCCCTCTTGGGCTTTCTTCCCTCTGGGCAGTGACACGCATGGCTGTGGTCAGTGGCCAGCTCCTTTGGGCAGGGCAGGGGGCCAGGGTGGGCGGCCAGGCAGCAGGCATGGACCATGTGGAGGTGCCCCCTTCGCCTGCTCAGGGGGCAGACCTGATGCCCCTGTGTTGGGGTGGGGGGCACCACAGGAGATGTTGGTTCCTGCCCCCGCATGTGGCCTCGGTGGGGAGCTTGGTCTGTGGCAGCCCTCAGAAGGCCGGCACCTGAGTGTGAGACAGGGACTCAGTGAACACTGTCTGGGGCTGGATCCACAGGAACTCTGTGAGCACTGTCTGAGGCTGGAATCATAGGAACTCTGTGAGCACTGTCTGAGGCTGGATCCACAGGGACTCGGTGAGCACTGTCTGAGTGCTGGACTGACAGGTACTTGATGAGCACTGCTTGGGTGCTGGATTGATGAATTTGGTGAGCACTGTCTGAGGCTGGATCCACAGGGACTCAGTGAGCACTGTCTGAGTGCTGGACTGACAGGTACTTGGTGAGCACTGTTTGGGTGCTGGATTGACGGACTCAGTGAGCACTGTTTGAGGTGGGAATCACAGGGACTCGGTGAGTACTGTCTGAGGCCGGATTGACGACTCAGTGAGCACTGTCAGAGGTGGGAATCACAGGGACTCGGTGAGCACTGTCTGATACCGGATTGACGGACTCAGTAAGCACTGTCTGAGGCTGGATCGAAGGACTCGGTGAGCACTGCCTGAGAGCTGGATTCCTGCTGGCAGGAGTTGTGCTGAGCAGGCTAGCAGAACACAGGTGTCCTGTGCCCCCCAAAGAGGAGGTCCGCCTTCCTGTGGCTGAGGGTGGGCTCCCCGCTGAGCCCGGTGCAGGTGGCCTCTGCCTGCCCTCTGCGCCTCCTCCCCTTCTCCTGGAGTGGGGAGCATTGGCTGGTCAGAATGGAATTTGGCCTTGAGGCTGCCATTCCAGACTTGTCCACGAGAGGTCACTGTTGACACGGTTTTTAACCTACACCACCCTCCCCATCCCTCCCTCCTCCCCACCAGCCCCAAAATTGCGCCTTAAAGATGAAAAATCAAATTTCTGTTGTCAGAGGGGGGAATATATTTTTTTTGCAAGCCTTCAGCTCTGTCCAGCAGGGAATGTCACAGATGCCATTTACGTGATGCAGCTTTACAGTAATTAAGGTAACACTTTTCCCTGCAGAGGTATGTTAATTTCCTCTCTTGCTTCCCCCAAATTGAAGGGTTCATTTCTCTCATGCATCAGCCTGGGGAGGGTTAGAGCTGCTCTTTCTAAACTTTTTCTCTTCCAGTATCTAATTTGGAAGAAATTTGTTGCCTTTGGTAGCATTTTGTATTGGGTGTATATGAGATTTCTACCCCCCTTCCCGGGTGGAATCAAGTTTAGAATACCTACTGTATCACCAGATTTTAATGAAAAACAACCATGTGGAACTCAGGAGCACGTGAAGCTGGTGCTTCTTTGTCCTGGTGCTTCTAAAAGTCATTTCAAAAGGGGGAAAGAGTGTTGATTGTACGTGATGAGACAGATCACTCTCAGCGTCCAGGAGAAGGACCCCCCGGGCATCGCTCTGGGCTGTCCCCTTCAGTGAGTGCTCAGGGCTTCCTCCTGGCTCTGTACTCCAGGGTCACTCCTGGTAGGGGTTCGAGACACCATCAAGGGTGCCAGAAACTGCACCTGAGTCAGCTCTGTGCCAGGCCAGCACCTCCGCTGTGCGCTCTCTCTCTCTCTCTCTCTCTCTCTCTCTTTCTCTCTCTCTCTCTCTCTCTCTCTCTCTCTCTCTCTCTCTCTCCAGCTCCTGTCCTTTCATTGAAGCTCATTTAATTATTATTTTTTAAAAGCAGTTTCACATAACAGAATCCACGTACAGTAGGGATGGCACTGTAAGTATGGCCACAACATCTTGGATGATGAGACTCAG